TTCTGCTTCAGGATGACCCTTTGGGTAGCCTTTAGTGGGAGTGGAGAATGGGCAAAGTTAAACCAGGACAAGAGACACTAGAAATCAGCCAATCTGGGTGTGTTGTCATAACCCAGGCCCAGATGAGGGACTACTGATTTTCCCACCTCAGCCCCTATCCCACACTGCAATGAAAGACATTTACCTGCCACACAGATGTCAAAATAATCATCAAACTCATTGCGGATGTGCTTCACTAGATCAACAGCATAGTTGAATCCTTCTACCTCTTCCTGCCATTCCTCACCAGCAGGGTCTGAAAAGAGAACACATCCACAAGTCTCTGCAGATGTTTGCTGGATTTTGATCAGTTAGTTCTCCAAAAGTCTCCCACTACCAAAAGGAGGAGAAAAATGAAGCCTCAGATTTGCAGTTTTTCCCATGGACTGCTTGTCTCTACCCTTGAGCTGCCAAAGGGACTGCTAACAAAAGGATCAAGTGAAACTCAGTCTCAACATTGGATTCCTGCAGCAGAATGAATCTCTTAATCATATTTCTCCATTTTACCCTGGAGCCAATTGTAATACAGCATGACCTGGACCGTATGCCTCGTAACTGCTCTAGGACAAAAGGATTCACCTCCGCGCAGTGCCATGATGTTCTTCAGCCCCAGCCGCTTGGCCTTCTGCAGATGCCCTGTGATCTCGTCCTTGGTCTGGTTGCAGCATGTCATGTGGAGGATTGTCTCCAGGCCACAGTAATTGACTGCAGTGCTAGCAATGATCATGGAAGATGTCTCTTTATCAGACCCTGGGTCACCTGCGGGATGCCACGTCACATCAATGAAGAGGGGACCTCCTGCTCCCATGCGATCGAACCTGTGGATTTTAGAACCATATTAATCTAACAAGTAACCACCTCCCCTCTCTCTGCTTGGGTTAGCTTGATCACTGCCAAACTGCTAGCACCAGGCAGAGGGAGGTTGAATGACAGCAGCAGAAGAGACAAAGAAAGTGTTAAATTATGAGTCCAGCAAGTGGCCAATGCAATAAGGAAAGCTGACATTGAAGACTGAGTAGGAACTCAGAATCTATTTTGGAAGAAGAGGCAAAAGTAAACTGTAAAATAAACTTCCTGTCAGTACCTCTATCAGACTGAGGCATTGTTCTCCATCAGAAAATTCAAGTCCCATTCTTTTTGGGACAGGAAAGTATGGTGGAACCCCCTTCCCAGCTTTATGCTGGGGACAAAAGAAACTATTGGCTGTAGAGACCAAGAAAAGGGAAAGATGGACCAGATTTCCTCCCCGCCCGCCCCTTCCCCAAGTGTGTCTAACAGAAGAGACAAGTTCTCTCCTAACTTGTCTTCCTCCAGCTTTATACTCAAACAGAGCCTTCTGGCTGAGGTAAAACCAGCACTAACCTACAGCAGTGACAAGAATTGTGAAACTCTGTTTTATCATGCAAGTGGGGACATGGTGGCTCCTGGGTCTCCCCACTAGGCCCCAGGACAACCTTCAACTGTTGAAAACTGTCACCTTTAATTTAGCAGGTAGATAAGGACATCTATCTTGGTGGCTAAAACTAGAGCCCTCAGTAAAACAAACACAAATCACAGTGGCTGGATGACCATGGAAGCAAGTGGGATTCTCTATTCTAGCACCATAAGCATGTTGGCCATCCAGTAATATTTCTTTTTGCTTAATCTTCACTGAGTGTGGGAGAGGAGATACAGCCAAGTCTCCTCGGAAACCCTTCCATGACACTTAACTCTTCAGAGCTTCCAAGGAAAACAAGTTACCTGGAG